GCCCCCTAAATACCTCAAAACCCTCGCAGCGCTTCCCCCCCCCCTCTCTTCACCTTTTCCCTCGCGACCCATTCCACTACCTACGCCAAGAATCAAGAACCACTGATCTAATCGAACTATTCTTATAGAATTTATTTTTGCATATAAGTTGAATTTTTTTTTTAAAGATAGTAGTGGAACCCTCCCCGGCTCCCCCCCCGGCCCCCCCCCCCCCCCACACCCACTAAGGTGTATATAAATCTACAACTCTCCTGTTGTTTGCGGTGGTGAGGGCACGGCAGTCACAACAGGTAGGTGCTTTGAACAATTGCAAAATTATTATAATAACATTTATGTGTGTTGGCCACCCCCTTCAAACTCCGACACCCCACACACCCCTCCCTCCCCACGCACCCCACACATCCCTCACTCCCTACATACCCCACAAATCCCTCACTCCCCACACACGTCACACATCCCTCACACCCCCGGTTGTTGAAATGTGTACATTTATTTATTATTGTGACTGTGTTCAATTATACCGTAAGTAATAATTTTTTTAAAAAAAGGAATGTCCTTAAAAATGAATTTAAAATAATTTCAACCCTCTGTAAAACCGTTCGTTCAAGGAAATTTGTTTGTAGGAAAAACTATTCAAATGAAGAGTTTTCGAACGGAAATTAATTCGTATCGAAGTTTCATCGAAATTAAATTTGAAAAACGAGATTTTTTCAATTTTTTTGATTGAGAAATATGAATTTTTAAAAAATATATATAGATAAAACAAATGACATTGATCTTTTCCTATTACTTTAGTTCGAACAAAACTTCCGTCTAACAATTTTTTTCATTGGCGTCCATTTTTTCCCGCCAACATTCCGATAATCCCGGTAAAACGACATACTATGATGACACACGATAGACGTAAATCTAAATCACACTTATACAAGTTTATATAGTCTAGTTCTTCCATATTTTTAACACTACCTTTCGATATTTTCGTCATATTTGATGGTCATCTGCCATCCTTTAGCCACCAGTGATTGTTAGATTTCAGTCTTTACTGACAAGTTAGTGGGAAGAACAAAGAACGTACATAACAAGTTATATTTAGCGCTGCCGTAAAAGAGACTCGGCTAAAACATGCATGACATGGTATAGGATTGAGGAAAAGAGATGTGATGTTTGAGGTAAAGATGTGATGTTTTAGGCAAAGATTTGATATTTGGGGTAAAGATGTGATTTTGGGGTAATGATGTGATGTTATAGGTAAAGATGTGATGTTTGAGGTAAGGATGTTATGTTAGAAGTAAAGGTGTGATGTTTGGGGTAAAGATGTGATGTTAAAGGTAAAGATGTGATGTTTGGGTAATGATGTGATGTTTGAGGTAAAGATATGATGCGTGAGGTAAAGATGTGATTTTTATGTAAAGATATGATGTTTGGGGTAAAGATGTGATGTTTGGGGTAAAGATGTGATTTTGGGGTAATGATGTGATGTTTGAGGTAAACATGTGATTTTGGGGTAATGATGTGATGTTAGAGTTAAAGATGTGATGTTTGAGGTAATGATGTGATGCTTGAGGTAAAGGTGTGATGTTTGAGGTAAAGATGTGATGTATGAGGTAATGATGTGATGCTTGAGGTAAAGGTGTGATGTTTGAGGTAAAGATGTGATATTAGAGGTAATGATGTGATGTTTAGGGTGAATGTTTGATGTTCGATTTAGGCGAAATGTGGTTAAGACAAGAAATATGGCTCAGTTTAAAATATGTCATATGTGGTATGTGTTGCCAGTTAGGGATTGGGTGGGGTATACATGTTAAAAGGTTAAAGGTTAGGTCTCTTCGAACCGTCGAAGGCCACAACGTTTGAGATCCTAGTTACCGTTGCTAAATGATGATTATCAACATACAGTTTTGGCACAAGTCTTGCTCTGATAAGTGGTATCATGTAGTATCAAGGCACCGAGATAACAGATACAACAAAAACAATTGCTGCCTTGGCAGATTTTCAATATTTGTTCAAAATTTTTTTTAGAATAGACTCTCTCTCTTTACATATATATGTATATATATATATATATATATATATATAT